CCATCCACAAGCTCGGATGAGTCACGGCTAATGTGTTGCAGCTTGTGACATCATTGCCTGGCCCCACTCGTCCCTTTTGAGCATTTGCATGGCCCTGTGCGTGTTTTTATCTGATGCTCGGCTTCTGGGGCAACTTGGCTCGCATGCTGACAGAGAGGGCTCCGCTTTCTCACTGTGGCACGTGTGCTATAGGTTCACCACCACTGCAGTAAACTATGTTGCGTATATTGGCCTCATTCAGCATGGCTTTTCTTACAATCTAGAACAGTTTTTGACAAGATATGCTTGAGCCTTAAGCATTTGGATTTACTTCTGCATTCGGATTTACTTCTGCATCTGGAGCCTCTGGCTTGGCCCGAAAGCAGCCTAAACACAGACAATTCTCAGCCGTCTGAGAAAGGTGCTGCCAACACTCGAAAGGTGCTGCTGTGATGACTACCATGGAGGCCATTCTTCAACAGGTTAATTGGCTATGTTAGGCTGTGTCGTGCAGCTGGGGTTCGTCAAGGCAAGCTGATGCCACACAGGCAGATGAGATGTCTGTTTTTTCTCACTTTGCAGCAAGCTAAGACAAGATCTCTAAGAGCACACTCCAAGGGGCATACCCATAGCTCTCCGATATAGTGATGTTTTTAATCCTCTGGATATTTCAGTGTTTCTTAACCACGGCAGCTTACTCTCTTGCTTTAGGCTACGATCCAGTTGGGCTGCCTGTAACATCTTGCTCTGGAAGAGGAAATTCTGAATGGAGAGCCTCGGTTTTTCTGACCTCATAGCTGGGAATCCAAAAAGTCCATGGCTGTCTAGATGCCGCCTAGTGGTTATAGGATTCTGCTACCCATGACAGAGTTGCTCCAATCTAAAACAGTCACTTATAAGACCATACCATTGCACCAATGGTGCCAAATTGCTACACTTTGATACTAATATGAAACAAATGAAAAATTTATTTTACAGTTAAAAGCAGAGCCAGCCCAACTGGTAGAGCAGACAGTGATGGAACCAGTGACCTAAGGAGGGTGTGGGCTTTCCCACACTAGAGGCATTCAAGATGCAACTGGACTACCATTGGACAAGGGTGGTTTAACTGGTAGTCGCACTGGGCAGGAGGTGGAACCCAAGGGCCTCTGGCCCCTTCGAACCCTCGTATTCTCTGATTCTATGTTTTGCTACTTAAGAGGAAGAACAAGATGAACTGGCAGATTCAATTTGCCTTCACAGGTCTTGATGAGGCAGCATCCCTTCCGCTGCACCTGAAGGCAGCAGGATAACAGGAGAAACAGGGCTGGCTGCAAAGCATCTCCTTCAACATTTTCCTGCCAACTCCCAGCATCTATTGCCTAAGCCAGTGCCTTCATTCTGCCTCATGACCGGGTGAGCCCCAGTTAAAAGAGTAGAACAGATCTCCCCAACTAGGTGGAGGTGTCAAAATGTAAGTCTCCTCATTCCCAGCCAGCTATTGCGAGTGCTGGCTGAGAATGATGGATGTTCAAGTCCTGCAACACATGTGAGTGGGGCATCCGGTGCTACTTCTTCACTGTATATAATACTTCAGTAACATAAAAGTCAAGTGTGCAGAACTGCAGCTCTGGGGGCTGAAAATGGTCCACAATGGCTTTTCAGAAGGCCTTGCCCTGTCCCCCTGGTCCCATGTCCTTTTCTGAGACGACTAAATGTTTGGTGGTTTTCTAGCTTTTCTGTGGTATTTTCTCACATTCTAGAAGACTGAAACAGCTCTCCTAAGGCTTAGCTACTGACTGTAAGAGGTTTAAACTAAAATGTGCTGATACTAATGGATGTAGGCCCTGCTGGGTTCTTTTGCTTTTGGCTCTGTTCCCCACACCAAGAGATTCTCCAAAATAGAATCCAGCCCTTAGGCTAAAAGTGATTCTAATCCCTGGGTAAGGATGATCAGCCAAGGTAAGACTGACAGGCAGTGATGGCTAGGAAGGCCGGGGTGAGAGTCTATAACTGGAAGAGAAGACATTCAAGGAGTACTAGTCCTGATGATATACTAAACTGCAGTATCAGGGGCATTCTGCCTGTGTGCACCAGTTGCTGGGGGATATGGGTGCTGCTATGGATATTCCCAAGGGCAGTTGGTTAGCTACAGAATGATCAACTGGAGAGACCCTTTCATCTGATCTAATGGTCTTTAAAAAGAACAACAACATCACTGGTTTGGATATTAAGGTGCAATTCTGTGTAAGGCCTGTAACACCCAAATTGCCCAAGCCAGCCACGCTAGCTACTGAATGCTGGGAGCTATTCTGTTTAAACACTCATATGATTGTGCCTTGATTTTATTATTTATTTATTTATTTTTCGATTTATATCCTGCCTTTTTCCTACAAAGGGCTCAAGGCAGCTTACATCTCCGCCTCCATCTTATCCCCACAACAACAACCCTGTGAGGTAGGTTGGGCTGAGAGTCTGTGACTGGCCCAAAGTCACCCAGTTGGCTCCCTGGCCGAGCGGGGACCAGAACCCAGATGGTGAGTCCCAGTCCCAAGCTCTTAACCACTATACCACACTGGCTCAATTTTATATTGAAAAGGAATCCAACTAAAAACAAAAGATTACCTTGTCTTATCACAGTAAAAACATTTTCATGGGTAAGAGCAAGGAAGCAAACAGCCTGCCAGGAAAAAAATGGAACGTATTGGGGGATTTTTGTGCAAGGGCCCTGGAGAATCTATTTGGGCAGCTTATTGAGCAAAACTTTAACATTACAAAATGGTTTTGGATTTCCTATGAAGGATTAGCTCACAATATAAACAATGCTATCAATTAAAGAGTTTCTCAGAAAACTTGTTTGCAACCTTGCAGTAATTTTCCTTGGAGGGGAAAAAATTAAAATCCCACCATAAATAACATGGCAGGAATTCCTCTGGTGCTATCATTTACGATAGCTCCAATATTTCATGTAAATTTAGTTTCATGCACATGGCTTACTTAGGGCAGAAGTTAAGCTGAATTATGAGTAGCTTTCTGCAACCCCAAGACACATCTCTCAAAAGAACTACAATTCCTGGTGTCCTTAAGAGGCAAAAACTTCCTATGAGAATCACAAAAAGGTGGGAAAAAAGATCTCACCCTAGGTCTCAAGACAGATGACAGAACTTGCCTTGAGAATGAAAAGTTCTTGCTTTACATAGGTTTATCCCCTTGCTGCCTGCCTTTTCTGTTTTACTGTACAATTCTAACGGATGCTTATTGTTTCCATGTTATTATATAAACCACTTTGTGAGAACATGGGCCAAAGCCATGCTTCAGTGGAAGCTGTTTGGAAATCACATTCAAGCTACTCCAGCTCCTTTTGTAAATGAAAAACAACTTGCAAATAAATGAAGCCTCATGACACTTTATGGAAGGGTGGTTATCCAATGAGGCAGTCCACCACTAGCTCCAGCTGCTTTCTCTTATTGCCAGCTTCTAGATGGAGGGCTCCAGAACAGCTGCACCATATGCAGCTGCCTTTTCCTAGATTGTTTGAAGAAAGACCAATAAAAATGGAAGAACAGAACAGCAGCAGCCATGGAAAAATCTGGGAAGGTGACAAATGGAAGATGCCATTTTATGGACATCACTACAGCCTTGTCCATAAATGAATGTGGCAGGGGCAGCGTAGGTGCATGATGAAAGCCCTGGTGGAATGGTTTTGCTTCTCCATAGTTCACATAACTTTAAAAGCAGAAGATGGGCAAAAATGGAGCAGTGGCAGCTTTTCCTGCTGTTTCTGGAAGCTGTAGAACAGGTCATGGGTCTGCTGGTTGCAGCAGCATCTTCTAAACATGCAAGCAGAGTGCAGAGGACAGGCAGAAAGCTGGGGTACCACTTGCTGCCGGGTAAGCACTGAATTAGTTTTTTCCTTATGGCTTTTGCAGGGAGGAGCAGCCTGTGAGAAGGCTTTGTCACAGTGGAAAAGGCTGTAAGTGCTCCACACGCAATCTCCTCCGATACTTTTCCAGCTTCCTGTAAGACTGCTTGTGGCACCAGGAGTTAAGGTGGTAGGAAAGCTGCCAGATGTTATCGCAGACATCTGGGATATCATCGCCAGAGAGGAATGATCAATGCCAACTCAATTCTTCACGTAAATTCTACATGTGCATTTGCTGTCTATGAGGCCAAACATCCACTTACATTTGTTCAAAAGATTCCCAAGGTCACCACAAGGTGGCCCCACTGAAGCTTGGAGTGGAAACATTTCCTCCTAAGCGTAGAAAAGATTTGGGAACTACTGGAGAGCTGGCACGTGCACTTGTGCATTTAAAGAGCTACCAGCAGGGAAGGATTGGCAAGCACTGAGAGAAGCAGGAACTGCTGCAAAGAACACTGCAGAGATATTTTGGCACAAAAATGGAACAAGCAGAATCAATTAAAACTTTCTCTGCTCTTGGCTACCTATATCGCTTGCTCTGTGTAGTGCTCCTGCCAGAAGATGTGTATCCGCACTGTGGGTTTACAATATAATCATTTGCCGGATGATGCAGTTGTATCCAGTAGCGGATACAACTCAGTATGGAGCACTGAGACAGGAGGGCAGAGAGATCCCGGCCTCCTTTCCTTTTAAAGGCCCCTTTAATAATTTCTTCCCATAATTTAAGCACTGATTGGAGAACCTGCCTAGGTGTCTCCTGGATCTGTATTTGCTCTGCCCTGAAGATAAACAAATAATGAATTGCAAACATTCAGAATGATACAGAATGAGGAGGCAGAAATTCAGCAGAGTTCATACTGCAGCTTCAGGATGTACAATATTTAGGATAAAAAGACATGTTAACTAATACATGTTAACTAGACAACACAGCACAGCCAGGAACTATTTCTTTTCAAAGTAGGTAGGTGTGGTCTCTCTCTCTCTCTCTCTCTCTCTCTCCCTCCATCCATCCATCCATCCATCCATCCATTCCCAGGCCATCTTTCTATACAAAAAGTTCTTTCTCCTGTGGAGGAAAATGTTTCACATGTGTCTTACACAATAGTAATCATAAGACAACTTCAGCATTTCAAGCCTGTTTTTAATAACAAACCATTAAGCAAACAGTTTTTACAAAAAAAAAAAAAGATGGCCTAAAAAATGGTTAAAATGAGACAGCAAGTCAGGAGAACTTTGGAAGCAGAAGAAGAGTGCTTACGCGAGAAGGGTTGAGCAACGTATCTAGGGTCGCTTTGTTAAGATTCAGTATGGGAAAGCTGTTAAACCTAAGTAAGCAGTTTGTTGCCCATTATTCTGGATGCCATCCAAATGCTGCTTTAAAAGTTTTTGTTTCGTCTTCTGGGTCCATTCTTCATTATTTGTACAGGCATGACCAGAGAGCAGGAAAGCAACTGTGCATTTTAAAATGGAAGCCAGAACTACCACCAACAGGGAGTATCAGAATTTCTACGAAAGGCATATGAGAAAGCAACATAGCTGAGTCTCTCGGTTCTCCTCCCCAACATTTGTCCTTCCAGAGGGGGGATGAATGAAGCTGAGTGCTGATGGGGGGAGGGGGCAGCTGGCTCTACCTAAGCTGAACTTGGTCTGCAGATAAGAAGAGAGGTCTTGTCCTGTTGAGCACTGCCAATATAATTCAACCAGCTTGCTGTCAGCAATTGCCATCCAATTTGCCTTCAGGATTAAGGTACAGTCCAACTGCCATGCAGTCCCCGTAGCATCCAAAATGCCCAAGGAGAAGCAACATTAAGGGTTGCACAGACACACAGTGGGTGGGTTCACATGACATAACAAGCCACAGTTGTTTTTTACCACTGGGGTTGTCCAAATCCCATCCAGGTACTTCAGCACGGTATCTTTGGTTTTGAGAACCCACCACACTGTGTTCTATGTTTTCGTAGTATCACCATGGCTTGTTGCATTGCTTAGTTGCATTCCTTTTGGCACACGCAGGAGCGCAGTGAGGAACCAGCTGAGCGGTGCTGCTCTTTTCCCAACACCGACCAGCAGACTTCCCCCTTTTGCCCAAGCATGGGTCAAGCACCCCCATCTCCTGCTCCAGTGGGCCTCCCTGGGGCAAGAGGCAGGGGTGCCAGATCACCACCCTCCCCTCTGCTGCTCATCTGGGCGTTCTCCCTATTTGTGCAAGTGGGACAGCTTGACAGCTGCAGCAAACCAAACGGGGCTCACAATCACATCTGTCAAAGAGAAGAGCCTCATTCCTCCCTGTACAGTTTCCTGGGATACTGACTGGACGACTGTGGGGAAAGGAAATGGCAGGAGGGAGTAAAGTTACCACCCTGAGCCTGTCTGTAGGTTCACTGAAGTTTAAACACACACACACACACACACACACAAACCACGATGTGGTTTGTTGTGATATGTGAACCCACCCTTTCTCCTTCTGTGTCCTTCAGGGCCAGCCTAAAGTTCTTCTAATCACAGACACTGGAGCTCACCACCATTCCTTTCATTCTGAAATTCTACCCCCAGGGAAGTATTAAAGAATGATAAAGGGCTCCATCAACCCTAATGAAGGTTTTCCTTTTTTAAACACTTCCATAATAGCAGGAGAGGAAATTCAAAGAACAAGTGGGTAGGGACTCACTCACTCTCTCCTGGAGCAATGCAGTCCCAATGTACTTTGGCCTTGATGTAAACCTTAAAAATGCTTTCCTTTCCAAAACAAGCAGAAACTGGGCATTTTGTCCTACCCTTGACTTAATTTTGGTATAATCATCAAGGCCAGCTAAAATTGCTTTTAGCAATGCCAGTCGGTCACTCCCTTTAAACAAAATACGTTGTGAGCTGGCAGCTGGCATCCCAGTCAGTGTACTTACTTCCAGAGGACCTCCAGTTGTAGTTTGATTGTACCTAGCTCAGTTATATCCACAATGATGGTTTGAGGGCTAGTCGTGAAGAAATTGATGCTGTCACAAGTTACTATGCCAACCAGGAGGGTGCTCAGTCCCCGAGCTTCTGTGACCTGCAAAAGTATATGGTGGTATCAGCCAAAACAGCCACCTCAAGGGCAAGTACACACATATAACATCCCAAACTGTTTGGCAGAGGAAAATAGGTACAATGTGAATTATATTACATCAACTTGTATGATAGCAATGTAGAGGATGCTGCACTCAAGGCATTTGGAAATACCAAGCTACACCTGTAAGGACAGATTTGCACTTATGATATCCTAAATGGACCCTAAACTCTCAAAATAACAATTCCTGCAATATCCAGTACAACAGGACTGTTCAATTCCACAGGTGACAACCACAAACCCAGTGCATGCCCGAAGGCTGTCCGTGTAGTGAGAAATGCAGATACACGAACTATAATTGGAATGGGTGGAGATTCTGTAGAGCACAACACATAACTTTTTTGAGCTAGGGGGCTGGATAGCCAGCCCCTCACTATTCCCACGACAGATGCCTTCTCTGGATGTGGCACTGCCTAGTGATTTCATGTGAGGGGTTGTAGCCATGCCCAGTAACATCTTCAACCCCCATTTTTTCTTTTCTCTGTGCGGAGGGAGGCATGAAACTTCAGAGAAGAGACTCATCGGACACCAGATGGTAAGCGGTTTCCTCCTGGCTCCAGCTGAGTCCCTCCCTGGCTTTTTGCTTCAGCCACAAACTGTGCTTCTGACGGTCATTTCACACATGCAGGTCATCACCTGATGCTACAGCCTCTGAGTGAGGAGGACGTGCTTGGGACCTTATCCCTATATGATTTAAAACAGAGGACCTAATGTGGGATTTAGCCGTGCCAACAACAAGAAAGCCAATTCTATCACTTCTTCCTTAAAGTTGGAGGAGATGACTCATCTTCATTGGCACAACCCAAGAACTGCAAGCTTTCTCACAGTATTTTGCACACTGCATCTCAATCAACTCTCACTCTGTAAGCATTGTGAAGGATGAGGCAGGGAAGAAAGAGACATTGTAAGCACATTTCCAAAATAACTGATGGGGAATTCCTTCCAGTGTAGACCTGCCCATTCCAACACACACACTGCCAGATAGCCTGGAGTGTTGCACCAGCTGCTCACAGAGTCTGAAAGCTCCAAGCGAACTTTCATTGCATGGAACTGTGCATGTCAGCAAGAGCCAATTCACACAGATCTTTACAACAGGGGTGGAGGCGTGCTTCAAAACAAGCTGGCTTGGTAAATCATGTGCACAGTTTGAATAGCACAGGGTGACTCCTCATAGAGATGAATTCAATGCATGCTGGCCTGTCAGCACACTCATCAGCAGACGTGTGGTGAAAAGAAGCAGGTGCATGATCCTTGCGCTCAGCTGCTAACAAGCTTGCTAGCATTCCAGGCAGGTGACCAAATCATTTTCCGCCACTGGCTGCTGCTCACCAACAGACTGACAAGAGCTGTCACGTTCTTTTGAGACAAAACTAGCCAAAGCATCATGAAATTGACCCTATGAAATTCATGAACCCAATCCTGCGGTTACCTAAAGCTGGTTCATACATATGCATGTTCACCAGCTGCTGAATTTAAGAAAAAGTCATGACTTGTGAGAACGGGTAGCTTCTAATCCAACACCACAGGCAGAACAACTATATTATTCTGCAATACTTCAAGCGTAGTAAAGTTTTCCCTATGGGGCAGTCCAGGCATTCATCTATAAAGTCTAAGTTAATCAAGTGATGTGCAGCCAGGTGTGAAATCAACTTTGAGTCAAATCTGGGCAAACTTCATGGATAATGTGTTTGGTTACCCAAGAGATAGCACATTCCTGAATGCACATATCCTCCAGCTGCATTTCCACAGGATGCTTCCTGGGAATACCAGGAGTGAAGTTCATCCCCAAGCAGGGTTTTGCTTCTAGGTTTGTTTGCTAGGAACATGGACAATTCATAAGGCGGTCATTACTTCCCCTGCGGCATTCCTCATTTTGCCTAGGCAGAAAGGCAACTTAATTGCAAATAATATCGGTGCTGCTCTTTGTACTCAAAAAATACCAGGGTACAGTTTTGTTCCTCCTTCTCCTGGGGGAAAATCAGCTGGTTAGGACCCAATGCTGAGCAGTGTCCACATTACTTACTGCACAAAGGGCTATGTGTGCCTGCAAGCAAGCAATTCATTATTTAATGCAAAAAGGGCATGCACCCTGAAAAGAAAAACTCATCGTGTTAAAAATGTTTTTAGACCCAATGGTCAATGCTGTTAGCAAATATGTTGGCAATAAATAACATTATAAATAAATAAAGCAAGCAAGCAAGCTAAAAATAGTGCTTAAAAATATATCTCAACCAGAGATATTTGGTGACTTGCCAAAATACAGGTTAGAATACAGGAGCTTCAAGATAGAGTCTTTAGATAGTTCTTATTACTAAGCAACACCTTTAATACAATGTCCAAAAAAGGCAAGTAGATGAATCAATGGCTGGCCCAATGAGCCAAACCTGAAGACCAGTGGCACTTAATGTCCAGGAAAAAGCATACAGCAAGCAATCAGTTTTGCCAGCAAGAGAGGCCTCCATGCAGTACACACTACTACCTTGATTTCAAACTTCTCATGGAGGTTGGGTATAAAAACCTTTTCTTCTTCATCCCACGTTTGACTGTCATCTGTCAGAATCTTGCCCTTCAGTTTCCACTTCTGACGCCCCAACCTCACAAATACCTAAAGAAATATATAATGGGGAATGACTATTATAAACTCTCACCAGGCTGACTTGTGGAAGTCTTAAAAATTTCAGTAGATTCTCGGGCTCAGAGCTATGCTGGAATGGTATCTTCCTTCCTAAGCCAAACAGCAGCAGAGTGGCGTATGAGAGCCAGTGTGGCGTAGTGGTGAAGAGCATGGGACTGGGACTCAGGCGATCTGGGTTCTAATCCCCGCTCGGCCATGGAGCCACCTGAGTGACTTTGAGCCAGTCACAGACTCTCAGCCCAACCTACCTCACAGGGTTGCTGTTGTGGGGATAAGAAGGAGGAGGAGATGTAAGCTGCCTTGAGCCCTTTGTAGGAAAAAGGCAGGATATAAATCGAAAAATAAATAAAATAAATAAATGTATTGTCACCAGGACTACCATGTGCAGGGAAATGGTCCCGATCAATAAACGATGCCTACTTTTGTGCTTTGCAGCTGTTTAACAAACCATTGTCTGCTTATGGAGAGGGGTTCAGACATAACAACAAGCCAGATTTCAGCAACTTAAATGAAGGCTTAGGGTTAAAAGTGAAGTAGGCTATTAAATGTACACTCTCATTTAACAGGACCTCTAGTTTGGCCCACAAATTACCCCAGATCCGGCTGGTAAAAAGGAAGTGTTTCTAAACATGTGACATGTGGGACTTAATAAGTATGCTGAATAACAAATTACTAAGCAAGTATTATACAGCAAGTAAGCTATGAAAGTGGCTTGTTTGACATGTCTTCTCCCTTTCTACCCATAACACTTAGATTCAGGTTTCTAAAGTCTAATGTTTCAACAGAATCTTGTCCTTGCTTCTCTCCTTATAGAACGCAGGAAGTTCTCCCACACTGAATCAGACGTGGGTCCAACAAGGTGAGGGTAAACAAGCCTTCTCAGATCTGGTGTCCTCTGGATGAAATGTGTCACAGTTCCTATTAGCCACATGCAGCATGCCCACTGGCCCTGTTAGCTAGGGTCAGTGGGTTGGTAGTACAATACATCTGAGGGACACCAAGTTCCTGAAGACTGTTCTATACTGATTGCTTTCAGACAACACAATAACCTACACTCAAGGGCTGAGTGTGGGTTGTTGTTGAAATGTGGGTGTATGTTGTCTGAACATAGCTGAAATAACAAACTATGGTTAACTCAAAATCATGGCTTGTTTGTGCAGCTGGTTCAGACAACATGATAACCCATATTTTAGCAACCTCAGTTCAACAA